GAGAGAAACGCTGAGTGACGTGCGACACTCCGATACGAAAGCATAGATCAATTTACAATAAGCTAAGGCGGATGGTGCTTACCGAATGCTGAATGGGATTCTTGAACCAATCATAAATGTTTCCAATGTCCAATCGCATCGGATCAAGCGTAGGTGGCACTGCAATGGAAACCGTTTGATTTTCTTAATTGATGAACTAGATGAGACTAGATGTAAGATGAAACGACGACTTTTTCAAGCCTATTCAAATATTTCTCAGTGCGATAAAGTGCTGACAATCAAATGCAAACTGAAGAACTGACCCTTAAAATGTACACTTATCAGAAAAGATTAAAAATGATTGATTATCGGAACAGTTCAAATCGGAAATCTCGTTACTGCACTATGAACGAGAGTCATTTAGTGCGATAAAACTCTCCAAGAACGCACCGAAGTAAATGTAACCAACAAATGCTTTCTCATCGTTAGCACCACCGGTTTGTGGTTGAAAATAGACCGTTTTCGTGCCCCAATCGTAGATTTTCGGTAGATGACAACGAGCGATCGCCGAATTCAGCACATCGCATGTGGCCGTTTGTCGTTGTTCAATCATCAGAATATAAGTTTGTGTACGATCCAAACAGAGCGCATTCACATCAACCGTCATTTCACCCAACATATTCACTATGTTCGGATAGATCAGCATTGGAACTGCAATTCAGAACGACCAATTTTATATGTATCAGTGGAAATATCGTTCCACATACAGATATGATGATTTGCTACAACAAATTCCATCAAAAAGAATAATTTATTGTGTTGATAGAACAGAACTTCAGCGTATGCTCATGGCATTATACGATGCGATGTTTCTTTCGCATTCACATCAACGACGTTGTTTCATTGTAATTGAAAGAACTCACTTCTGTGTGGATGATGAACCTAATACTTTCTTGGAGACTGAATGCAATAAACGACAACTGATCGGTAGTTTAAACATAAAACTTACACGTTCCACCAGTTTTATTCGAGCAACCAGCCGGTCTAACCACATCGTCAACACGGAACATATAGCGACCTCTTACCATATGAGGTACACCTGAACGTTGGGCCAGTACCTTCGGTGTGTTCTTGTACATAAATGTGGGATCAACTGGTACTGTACCCGTATGATTGCCACCATTGAAAAGTGCCTGAAAACTCATGAGAACATAACGCTAGCTGAACGCTTCAGCATTTCACAATGATGAGCGGCCAATGTCCAGTTGCAAGCCGACAGATCAAAAATGAATGAGTAGATTGGAATTCTCAAACCTGACAACGACCACTTCGTGAATTCGCACGAAAATCCGCAGCATCGAAACCGAGCTTGTCGTAGTTGAGAATCACATAGCTGAGACGGCCTGGCTGCAGATATTGATTCACGGTTTAGCCAGGACAATATTCACACGAATTGAATACATAATTAAGAATAACAAATTAAGACCGCTCAATTAGTTGATGCGATTCGTCATTCATTACGCAGCAGTCATCAAGTGAACACCTTCATTGTTCGATGCTATCGAATTAAAATGAGCTTTACCTGATCAGTCAACCAAATCGCTTGATACGTCGCCAGTTGACCGGCATCAATGTCGGATCGCCCGGAAACGGCTGATGCTGTATTGTACCATGTGACAACGAGTGCTGCGTCTGCTCGGAACATCGCAGCTCCAGCTACGCCTTCTGCATCAAAGCAACACTTTACGATCAGTACTTTTGCTCAGTGAACGCATCAACATGCGTTTGATGGGAATTCGAAACATATCAATTGACTTGACTCAATTATAAACTGGAAGGTTATGTTGTTAAGGCTCAGCGGCCAAAGCAATGACACTGGGCTTTCCCCCTTCAAAATGTGATGTGAAACCGTTTCAACGTTAATCTTGCTGATTGAATTCAATGTCACAGCATTCATGATGATTCATGGAAGTTGATTTTTGGAACTA